AATGTAAAAGAGACAGACAGACAGACGGGCACAAAGGTAGAGAAAAAAGTAAGGTGAGTACTGGGGAAGTGGTCGAATATGACATGCATTCGGGTCATGGTTGTTTGAATTCAAATGCCGATTCATAGCCTTTTTGCCGAATGAATATATGTCTCCCAGAGTACACCACGTGGAGGTAAGTCTGTGTGACCAATTCGGGTGACTTAATTGGATCATAACAGCTGCAGAAAGTTTAGTACCAATTCGCACAATTAACTGAGAAAAGATTTATTTCTAATCGTACTGTTTCTTACCATTTGTCTAGCATTTGAAGGTTAATCAACGACAGATTCATGGTGGAGTTTGTTCAGACTAATTTTTCAACTCTTCGAATAATTACGAATGGCTATCAAAGTAGATACCATCTAATGACAGAAAGCATACTTTATGGTATTGGAGACTAACAAAATTGTGGTTAAATCCATGAGTCTATGTGCTTATGATCAATATATCCTGGGCGGTTCCTGCAAAATTAATATGTTTATGCATACTGTCAAGAATAGTTAGACAGTTAATCTAATTAAGTTAGCCCATCGACGTAATTCTCCACTAAATCATTTCGTTATAAATTTAATCAGACGACTTTGGTTTGTCATCTCACTAAGTCAGAAACTATTGTGACCGTGAGACACCTAGTGGGTAGATTTGTAATAGCAGTCAAATTAGATCTCCTAGCTGTGAAGCAACATTGAAATTTCTTACTTTGCAGAGCACAAATTCCACGACTGGGCCATTGAAATGCACGAGAGTCAGCATCACATTCACCGATGAAGAGGAATGTGAACATTACCGTCTTCGGTCCTTGGTTGAAGTGCATTTCTAGAGATTGAATGAAAATAACTTCAATTGTCAGATTTTTAGTTTAATTTGAAGACTTTTGTTTAGGAATTTTCACAACTAAAATTTAAATTTATTTACTTTTTAATGCATACAGGTAGTTTCGATTTATTTAGCATATGTTTTTGAGTGGTGGTGGTGGTGTTTCAATGATAAAGTTAGAACCAATCGATTAGACGAATAAATTGAATTCGAAGCTTTAATAAACCCAGGCAATAAATCAACCCTTTTTTCGATTACATCAAACAAATATGACTTCCTCGATGTAATTCCAAACACGCAGGTTTCAAGAATAATTTTGTAAAAAGGCAAATGGACTCCAAAATTGCCTGGAAACAACCAGGCAAGAATCTTAAGTATTTTAAGATGCAAACATTTGGAAATGAGTAAGAAAAGCTATGATCGGAAAGAAATAAGTAATATCCTTTTATCAATTAAGCAAAGCATTTTGGACCATAAAAGTAGTAATTTCCTTATCACAAAGCATGGCGTGGATAAATTTCCTCAATCATGAAAGTGCCAGCCCCGGTTTAGAATGAAAAAATGCTGGAGAATCCTTAAGCCAACATCTACGTTATTTTATTCAGTTATAGTTTAAATTGGCATACTTCGTAACCTAGTTCCGTACAAATACTTTAATGAGTGTGGATATTTAATGAAAAGGATCATCCTACCCCTTAGTTGAACTACTTTTCAAATTACAAGATGCAAGTGAATTATGTTATCATATTTGCAATTTCGCTTATACAGATGCTACTATTTAAAATGAGTAAACTATGTATCATAGATTATTATCACATGGACTGCTATTTCTTAGAAGAGGTATTTCTCTCAGTTTTATTACCACTTTTACTTTAAAAAGATGAAGTACACCATTGCGTAGTATCAATTTAATATACATTGTAGAGACTTTGTTACTGCGTATAACTAATTAAAAAATAGGTGGATCTTCTTAATTATTACTTCAACAACATGTTCTTAAAGGGTTTTATTTATCTGTCCATATCAAATGGCAGGCGTTTTGATAGTTATCATTAGCCCTTAAGTTGACGTCAGGCTTCATAGAGGGGAAGGAACATCAAATTGAAGAAAGTCGAGAGGGAGGGGAACAGAAGAGTGTTTCAAAGATGTAAAAGAGACTGACACAACGGTAGGGAGAAAGGTGAGTTCTGAGAAAGAAGTCGAATATGACATACAGTGGTTTGATGGTAGTTTGAAGTCAGAAGTCAACTGCTAATTAATAGTCTTTTGCCGTATGATTATACGTTGCCCAGGGTGTACCACGTGGAGGTAAGTCTATCGCACACCCCTTTTCTTAAAAGGTTGAGATAGATGTATGGGTTAAAAAATATGATATGATAATTTATATTGAATAAGCAGGAGCTCTACATCCACCCATTCTTTGAGCAAGTGCAACATCAGATGGTTAATTACTTCTAGCATCGGAAAACTGAAATCTTGATCCTGAATTACGTAATCATGTAGTCACAAAAGAATCGAAACCTTCTTACATACAAGTCAGCACAATAAAACCCCTGGACTGCAAGGTCTAATGATTAGTGACTGCCTGAGAGGACTCTGTTCTCAAGACCACACTTGCCCATTACGCGTTAAGTAGCACGGCAAGTTGAGATCTATTTGTTCATAAATGATAGCTTTGTGCACTGTTCAAATTCAAATTTCAGAGATGTCCACATTTTTCAAGAAATGATTATTCGATCTTTCCCCTAATTGGCAATTTTCGGAACCATGCGTCGTTAAAATCAACTCCTGCTTGTATTAGCAGAAATTAACAAATGAATAAATTTAATAATCTTCAGTTCGAGCTCAAAACCCATTGAATGCGACGATTCTGCCACCTTTCACCTAAATGAATGAACAGTCATCAAGGCGCTATTAATACGTAAACCCAAAGTGCTCATGCAGATTGAAGTTCTCAGCAAAACCGGGTGATATTTTGCTTACCATGATGTATACCACAGGGGGTGTGATAGACTTACTTCCACGTGGTGCATCCTGGGCAACGTATGCTCATACGACATAAAAGTCTATTACCTGGCAGTTGACTTCAAACTACCATGACCCCACTGTATGTCATATTCGACTACTTTCACAGTACTCATCCCACCTTATCTACCTTCGTCTTTGATACACTCTTCTGTTCCTCCCCCCCCCCCATTTGTGGAGATTGAAATCAACTAAAGGGCTAATGATAACAATCAAAACGCCTGCCATTTGATATAATAATAATAATGTCTACCACAGCCAGTATTCTTTAGTGGCCTGATTTCTCACAACACTGTCTTTGTTTTCTCAGGATTTTGTTCAATAGACAACCAACTCTGTACGTGCACACTTGGTGGGGGTAGGAGCTGCTAGCGACCCTTCCAATGTTACTTCAACTGTTGCTTCCTGTAAGCCTAACTCAGATTATTGATGTATCTTCAGTTGGGATTACCTCTTCTCCAGTCATTTTTTGCGTACAAATATGTTATTGAAAATGCCGCAAGATTATCAGAGTACGCAAGTTAAGCAGCCAAGACTGTGCACAACTGCTAGAACGCAATTCGTCTCACCCACCCAATTCCCTGCCCGAACCTTAAATTCACTCAATTAGTGATGCAAGCTTTTGATTATGGTTGGAGTCTAAGGCGTACGCTGACAGGCCGTTTCACAAACTTCGTGAAACACTCCTCGTGCAATTTGGTTAACGATGTGTTCCTAAAAAAACTACGTATTCAAATCTTCCAGGTTCCAAATTTTGAAAATTGGACTGGTAACTTAGTGGCCATAATATGGTGCTTTAAACATTCTAGGATTTACAGTAGCCAAGACACTGATAGCCATGAAAGCGATCAAACCTCCCTATCCCCTCTCCGTTTTTGTTTATATAAACTAGATTAAAAAGAAGCACGCGAACAAAACAACTGTTATTAAATATTCAAATGATATGTTGGTTAAATAACAACTACATGACTACCGCTAATCACCAAATATTTTGGCAAAGACCTAACAACGACATCGTTTAGCAGATTTTGCGAGCACTAGACGAACATGGTTTAACGACATTGTGTCTTATCTTACAACGCGTAGTGAATTCATGAGGTAGGAGTTTGATTAGTCGTCTTAATTCAATTAATACATCAGTTTGTAGCTGATACACAATGACTCACAAATCCAATCGTGTTAAAGAACTATAGACTAACTCACAAAGCCATCGTTTATTTTAACCTTTGCACGCAATGTCGCTTTCAATAATTCCACTTAGACGCAAGACCAGCTCTTCTTATAACTATGACCTTCCGCAGCAATCAATACTAAAACCCAAACCGTCTCAGCTCACGCCCTTTTGACAAATGAATGACCGACATCTTCCGTCAGCCTGCTGATCTTTGGGTTTTAAAGGATTATAGGGTAAATACTCCTGTCAGGTTATAGAACCCTCTATACTTAGAATAACCGATGATCTAATTCCAGGTCATTCTGTTGACTAACTCACGTCCTTACCTTACTAGAGCTGTTTCGAGCACCAAAGGTCTATTACCCGGACTGCTATTGAAACCACTTTGAGATGGATTATTTTTTAGTGCATTTACTTCACCAGGAAAATACTACCTCATTGGAACTGTTACATTGTTGACAAAAAGAACACAATATTTGGAAAAATTGATTCCATGGCTCAATTACAGCCACCTTACTACAGTCGACTGATTCTCATTTGCATTGGAGAGCCCTCAAAGCACTCAAACAAAAAAACTTATAGGAATATATGTAGTGACTAAAGGCCTTGCAAACAGTTATTTCCATCGTTAGCCAACAACTTCGTAGCCTTATATCACCCCAAAATCACTGAAATGACAAGAATAAGCATAGTTGGGAAAGGTCCCACAAGTTGTGAAACAAATAGGTTATGGACTGCTGGGATCTTCTAATCCACCTTAGAAGATATTAATCTATTTTATTGAATATTAAATAATGAAGCAGCATTGATATTTTAACAAAAGGGAGAAATTAAATACTTTAGGTATCTAAACTAAGGCGAGAACAATAGAAATTGATAGTGAAAAATTCTAGAACAACAGTCACCATGAAAGACGTGGTGCAAAAATAGGACCTCGACAGCATCAGGGGAGATCTAGCATATTATTTTGGTCATAGATATCCTGCGTGGTCTGGTACACCTTGCGAAGAGTAGGAATGCACGTTTCCAAAAGGTATTGCTGACAAGTTTGCTCACTGTTTAGGCCACTATTCAAAGCTTGCATAGCAACGAGATTTGAAATGAAGGTTTGACGATTGGGTAGCGCCAGAAACGCCAAACCACAGGCCTTTCGAACTCCCCAAGGATGGTAATGCGCCAAACTTCCGTCGTATGCGGATCTCGTCAATTCAGATAACTCTATTTCAGGAGGACCTAAAATGCTAAAAACATGTAAACGAGTATCATTTTGGAGAAAAGAAAGAAGTATTGGATTAGTGATAAGAAATTTTCAATATTGAATAGCTAATCGGTAACCCTTGGATATCATGAACATAAATTTATATAGCAAGCCAGGGAACCAATTAAATAATTGCAATTCTGAAAAATACAGTAATGTAATAAATGAAGTTATTACATAGTTTGGAAAAAACGAACTTCCTAATTGAACGAGGTTTTAAATATAAGAGGGAGGAAAATGTTAGCATTATAAAAGAAAAAAATATGGTAATTGGTATAATTCCATTTTTCCCTCGACATAAACAATTAAGTCACTCAAACACCGATGGGAATTTCTGCAGCTCTGAGTTTTGCCCAGGCTCCTCCTTCCTAGTTCAAATAGGAGCAGTCTGCCACGGTCTGAGTACAACCACTGTCTCACGATAAAGATGCCAATTTGCCCTATGGAGAAACCAAAAATGACGAAAGGAAACGAAGAAGCACCACCAGTGGGGCGATGTAATTGTTCATTGCTTACGTCACCTAAATCGAGGGTGTTCAAAAGACCCTATGATACTACTTCAGCAGGATGAAATGATAATACGCAAAATTTTGTCAAATAAAGATTACTTTAACGATCCCGACGATGTGCATATAATAGCACTTACATTAAATGTGTGAAAGAATAGCGATGGAGGGAGGGAGGGGGGGGGGGGGATGGGGGGGGGAATGTCTTCAAACGGCAGTTTTTGGAAAGTAGTGGCTGTGAAGAGACTGAAACAAAAATATTCAACTCAGTGCTGGAAACCGACTTCTTAGAACTTTATCGATTTCAGCGCTACACAAGATGGAGAATAAAACCACTCTCATGAACAAATGCACTAATGCGAAATGAAACATAATTAAAGATTACATAAAATGACTCGATCAAAGCAGGCAACACTGCCTACTGACAAAATTAGATACTCATATCTAATGGCTATTATGAAATACCTTATGAGAAAGAAGACTTATAACGCAACGATTTTGAGTGGATCAAGTACCAAAGGCCAGGTTTACGTGATTGCATTACTGAGCCCAGCGAATTTAGCTAACGTTATGTAAGTGAAAGCAATCTCATGAAATAGAAAGATCTGAATTGAAGGTAATTTTCGAAACTATTGGGGTCAGAGCCAAGATACTATTTCACTTTATAAAGCTGCTAAAAGTAAGATGTTTGGATTCAGAGAAAAGAGAGGACATCAAAAAGTCCATTACCATGCAATGGGAAAGTAGAATAAATTAAAAATATTTAACAGCAGAAATTCTGCTGACCTCCACAAAAATGCTCAAATACATAAATTCCCCAAACACAATGAGGGTAGAACGGAGGGGTGATATGTCAATTAAAATAATTTATTTAAAATAAACACGATTTTTCAACAAGTAGACAGCGGTAAATATTGAAGGAACATTAAATAACGGCTTTACTTCAACGGAATTGTGCGTGTCCAATTACTACTAAGGTTATTAAAATACTCTCCATCTCAAGAGAATAAAATCAATCGTCTATCCGATTTAAGTAAACTCTGAAATAAACTGAAATTAGGGGGGGGGGAATATTTAAATTATTTGTGAAAAAACAAAATATGTACAGATTTATAAAATGAATTTAAATAGTTTCATTAAGTCAAAATAATACTTTAAATAGAGAATTTAATAAAGCCGACATTAGATTTTTGTTGGTGAAATCATATGACAGTAAATTAATGGCCATACACTAAATTTATCAAGAGATTTGAAGTGTTAAATATCTAAAGTGAGAGACATACCACTACAGACTTTTTCGAACAAATCAATGATGAAGAGGAAAGCACGATGAAGGCGCAAGAGATTTCTACTACCCATAGTAGCATTGCTTTTAGACTTCAGTTTATTATTTTCATACTGATCGGCTTCAAATGTACACATTTTTCGAACTGTGGAAAAATGTTCGCAAAAATCAGTTGGATGCTTTTCAGGATTTCGGAGATCATTTAGGATTCCAAGCTTTTGGTCCACATCTCTCAGTACAAAATACATTAGCCTACCTAGAGAATCAAGAATGCTTTAATTATTTCATTGAAACGACACAAAACTATCATACGTATTTAGTTCCCTGAAACCAGCGCAGTAGTTCGCGAGATCTATGTCAGTGTCAACAAGAGATTGAGAGAAATGGTTTGTCATTTGTGTCAAATCGAAAACTCCGTCTGGCATATTCTAAAAGGAAGTTGCTTCAAATATAGAAGGGGTTACTGCCTAATATTTTAAAAATTCGGTAGATTACTCACTATGTGGTAGTGGTAGACACACTTAACTAGTTAACAGCAAAAAGCTCCGACGAAACTTTCGCTTTTTATTCCTAAATTGAAACTTTGCGATATCACTGGAAGCAATATTTAAAGACTACAAGGTATGCAAAAACTAGAACTAATTAGGGGCTTCTATCAACTTAAGTGAATTTCTAACTGACATATAAGATATCGGTTACTTTACTTATCAAAAAAATGTAAAAAATACCGAAATCACTACCGGCCGAAAGTATGCGAGTTGCACCAAACAACTTAAACAATCTCGAAGGTAGTTTTAATTAATCTTCATTATTAGAATAAATGAGAACAATCATAAAATTTATTAACCTGTTTATTTCCCAATTCTTATTTATTTCAAAATAAATGACAAAGCTAAAATAGAAATGAAGTGTGATTTTTAATGAAGGAAAGCATGGAGGGCGCTTAGAATAAAATTAATTCTAAAGACATTTTGAGCTTTGTTAACATATGGGTTGTGCTGGATTAGGTTGGCCGCAAAAAATACATAATTAGTGATTAGAGTAGCATCAAATTACCACGGGAAAGGCGTTTGCTTACTGTTAGATCACGCTTCGTAACCGTAACGGGGAAATGTTTATTCAATATTTAATAATTTTTTTTATTACATGCTTTGCTCAGCTAATTGGTTGACATGAATGCAAAAACACAAAATGGATTCACAATTCTGTACTTTTCCACTGTTTAATTACTGCTTTTAATTTCCCCTTTTTTAAACGAACGGTCACATCACCATTGAGAAGTACGAACAAATTAAACAGCCAATACTAGTTATAAGTAAATATTTTGATGATTAACATGTGTTTTTATCGTATTTGATTACTGAATTAAAATTGTGATTATCTGCTGGAGGATCAGATGGTGGTATCTGTGCACACTGAATTACAGGCCTGTACGGCATCTCTGTACGTTGTGTAGCCATTTATCCACACATGTTATAATTCTTTCATTAACTTGTAAGCGAACGAAAAACTAAATTACACTTTATGTACCCTACATGCTTCTACGTTATTTCCATTCTCATTGAAACCCAAACGTCATATTCATATACCAGACAAAACCTTAGGACTTTTATTCTGCCACAAGTTTAAATTATATATATATATTCATATATATAATTCATTTTATGGTCTAAGAAAAAGCAAGTGAATTTAATTCTTGAGGCGCTACATTTACTTACTGTCAAAATAACATCGTGATTTCATAATTCAATTCAGAAATACTAATTCTACAAAACTGTAGAATAAACGGGCTGGGGATAATACAATATGTGAAAGCTGTTTCACAGCAAATTGAAAATTTTTAACTGAACGAAGTATTTATATTTTTGACCTTGACTCTATCTTTCCATCAGCTGATTCGGTACATAATTTTAATGGTAAATTGTTTATAATTCTTTTATTATTTGACATTACCATGGAAGAGCACACTTCCTTTTATAAAATAGGAATGGAATCCGATATTTTGTATTAAATTCCTTGATTTCATTATTACTATATATTCCTATATATTAACTTAGCTAAGCCTAATTATAGTTGCCGTTTAAAATTTCTTATCTTATCGGAGAAAGAACCGATATCGGTTGCTACTGCAATTTTATATGCAGTGTGATTTCCAGAAGTATAATATTTATGCCTAAGTATTGAATTTCAATTTTCATTTTTCCTCTGAAAATTAGCCAGAGCAGCATTTGTGGAGTTGTGATAATCGAGGCAACGCTTACTATCTTTCCTCTTGGGATGCTGGGTGGAAACGGTTAAGAGCTCGCAGGGGACATCAAATACGTGTTAAACGTATTGTTGCCAGCAGTTGGTGCGTTTGGGCAATTGCTGCTGACCAATCACCCTACTTTCTTGTTCCATCTGATGGCACAACTATCAGAGTTACAGAAATCATCACTCAGTATGAGGTACGGTTATTTCATTTTTGTGTTCTGTTTGTTACTATGAAGATTATGAAGCTAAAAAGTAATTCAGTAATGATAAATTGATTTGAGAACTCTACCTGAATTGGCCTTTACTTACCATTCCCCTCTGTTGTAAGCGCATTAAGTTGAAATTACCAGTATTATAACTTTTGGAAGGTTAATTGCCCTTATTGGTGTCTTGGATTTTTTTCCGGACTTGCATTTAGATGAGCTTCATCGTTGTTTGATGAGTTGGTAGACTTTGAATCTTTGCTACTTGTTCATTTATGTTTTTTTTCTACTTATTTTTACGTATTGCTTAACTTGAATGGTTACGGTGAAACCGTTATGCCAATGTTTATTTAGCTTTCAATTACTAATTAATTAAACGGTACTTCTGTTAGGTACTCTTTGCAACAAACACTAGACATATTTCTGTATTTTCATTTTACGAGTCAGGCAAACGGTTAACATGTACAACTGCAGTGTAAATCTCTTTATTTGTTGCCTGAATTTTCAATATAAATATGAGAAGATGAAAAATATTCAATTGTGTGGATACTTTCATTTTACGCTTTGATAATACCTTGGTTAAATTATACTAAAAGGCAATGACAATATTATTCATAGTATTATTAGTGTTCTTAAATACTGTAATTACGAATTATAATATATTCAATATGGACAGACTTAGCTGCTTCAAGTGGTTCTTAAAGGCTAGTAGAAACCTATAATTTTTATTACCTTTTTTCAGCGATGGAATTCATCATCCGGATTTTCTTCATCTAATCTCACAGCCAAAGACCCACCAGATTTTGTTCAGGATGGTCGTGAAACTTATAACTGGTCTGCTCTCCCATCAACGAGATGGAAATGGGAAACCTCTGAATGGGAATACCTCCTTGAACACAGCGGTGATCGAGCTGTAAGCTTAATAGAAATTAAGCAATAGAACTATTTTTAACTCTCCTGTATCATGAATTCAACAGCCTTTTGAATGAGGTGTTGAATATAAGCCATGGAATTCTTCAGCTCTTTTTATTTGGGAAATTCAATAAGGTTAAGTTGTTAACATTCTGTTCTTCACATCGTTCGGGCTTTTCTTTTCTATCAAATCAAGTATCTTTGTTACTGCTTGATGGCAAAAGCTGAATCGGAAGGCAACTCACATAGTTTCTTTTTAAATATGAAATGCAATTCATTCTTAACTCTTTTATTCTTTTATACGAATAAAAGCTTTACTTATTTGAACATATCAATAGTTTATCTGCTATGAATCCTCTTTGACCCTGGTCTGTTAGTTTTTTTGTTAAACAATAGCCCCTTTGACCGAAGCTATGTTCCTGCTTTATCATTTGATGAATGCGTAGATGTTAATTATGCGCTCAATTTTTTTAATTTTATTTCATAGCCCGTCAAATAGAAAGCTTCTACTCGTGATTATTAAAGATTAAACAGACTTCTCATTATTAGCATACACGTGTGGTGGATTTGCTACACGAATAAGCCGTGCCTTATTCTAAGGAATCTCTATGGCAAAATACGCTAACATGGAAAGGCTCACGGAATTAGTCAAACTACCCCAATGGTATAGAAGAAGCGGACGTTCAACGGGTATAGGGTTGATTGAAATTATGTTAACAATTGAATGCATTTAACGTAACTTGAATGAGCATTAATACCTGTTTAGCTGAGAAGTCCTCTCCACTCTCGAGCGCGCATTGAATTGCTTAGTTTAATCGTGTTATGATTGTGTACTCCGCACCTACCATTGTTTAATGGGACTCGAGTAAACACCTGTTCACACTTCATTAGCTATTTTACTCTCCTGGTTATGGTTGTTAGGTATTGTTGAGATTAGAGATAATTCAACTTCAATATCTTTCTCCTTTTACACTCCACCTTGGGGTTATCAGTGTCCATGGGCGAATCTTCCATGTACTTTGCATTCTAAAAAATTAACTTTCAAATACTTCAGATTATAAGCGCACTTTCAATTTAACGTATTAGTAAAATTTTAGTTTGGTAAAGTAGGTGGGATGGGAATGAAAGCACTCGGTTGTTAACATTTTTCTAAAATTTTCTTGGTACTATATTTAAATTGCTTCTTATGTTGGGCAGTAGTAGACAGTATTTCGCAAAAATGTCCTCTTTAGAAACGGTATTGTCCTTGGATTAGCTTTTTACCCGGTATTCAGCTGATGCTTCACATAGTAGTGAAAAGCGAATATCATTTATTGATTCACAAGTCGTTAGTTGTCCAAAATGTGTTTAAAAGTTTTCACTGAAATTAGCTTCTTCTTAGTAAATATCGTCAGAGTTCAGTGTAGTGATGTTTCAACGACATGTTTAGAATTTGTTTATATGAAATGCAATAAGGTGACTAAGACAATTGCTGCATGCAAGAATTTTTTTGCTCTAAGATGAAACGGAAAAAGCGCTTATTTTGTTCTTGCAGTAAAGTTATTCTTTGGTTTTAATAAAAGTTTACCCGAGCAAGAAGCCATTATGTGAAACAAATCATTAACAAACTTCTCTCAGTACAATATGTATTCTTTGCGAAGGCGCAAAGTAGTACATTTCACTCCTGAACATTCGTCGGGGCTGTAAAAAAATGAACAAATTTTTATCGATTCGGTGTCGGAATAACCCCCCAACGATAACTGTATTGTGAAGACCTAATCAGCTATAATCAATTTTTCTTCCATTTAGGGCTGGGAGTATTCTTCCTCTTTTCAACCGCAGGCAGTTTTCACCTCCTCCTACTATACTGACAGTGTTGTAAGACGTCGGCGATGGCAACGTGTTAGAAGCTTTCTTGGTCATGATCGGTGGCTGCTTTGCAGCGTCTCTCAAGCAGACTTAGATCCCCTTAAAAGTGGCTCTCAACGATCTTCCGGTTCAAATGCGATCCATGTTCATAAATTGGTTCTGGGAGGCACAAATATCCCCCATCAACCACTAGGATTCCATGTACTTTGGACTGTGACAAAAACTGGTCAGGTATGTACATCTTGTGATGATTTCCAAGTGATCAACGAAAAATATGAACACTTCTATTATATCAAGACCACAGCCAGTTCAGTAGAACGTTACAATGTTATTAAGATAAAGAGTGATAATGTGATTTTAATCATCTTAAACTTACTAACTGGCAATATGCTGGCATAAAAACTAGGATCAAATGTTTGTAGATGCCGTTAACCCTTTAATACCCCTAGGACTGTGTGATCCTCTTTCAAAATAAACTTCATTGGTACTAGACTCGTAACAGAGAGTGTATTGAAACAGGTTCAATACGTCCATAGCCTGTGTCTGATACCACCAAAACTCATCACGTCGGCGGCATCAGTCTGCTGTGAGACACGCGTGAGTGCATTTGGGTGCATTTTTCAATTAAATAAATCGAAGGTTAAACGATCGATAGGAGCTTTTGGTGAGGATCATTTATCACATCCCATTCTGCTTCATCTTTATTCATCTTTATCTGCTGCAACCCGATGTAATATTCTTGACCTTGATAGTAATCTGCTTCAACTTTTGAATTCGTTGGCTCTGAGTAATTCTATCGTTGCTGTTCCTCGAGCATTTATAATTAATCCAATTAGTGAATGCATGTGTAGCAACTCCTGACCTCTCTCCCAGCTAAAGTGTCCTGGGTCACAATTTATCAGATGAATGAGTTCTCTAGACTTGTATACATGCCAACAATAGACGGAGTAAGCAAAATTGCTCTGCATGAATTTGAGTCCATTATGTGGCTAATCGATAAAGCTGTTTACTTGCAAATCCTTCTATAGTCTTTAATGCACTATGATGCTGGCTATGTAGGTAGAAGGTAAGAATTTCAAACTACGTGTAAACGAGAGGACTGCGTTTCATGTTTTATACGACCAAGTTTTCATATTAAATTAGTGCCTTCACTCATTAGCTTCTTAAGTTTATTATGTCGTATTGAAGTTCCCTAAATATTAGAAGAACACTTTTAGCGATCTGTTCAGTGGGAATGTTAATACACAGATGTGATAGGATTCCAAACCTTCTTTGATTAACTAATGAACAAGAAACTGTAATAGTAACTCCCGAACGATAGTCTTGTGGGAACGTTGGGTCATAGATAATCAATAGCCCGCGATTGATAGGAATCCAAAGATCAAATGTAAAAATGCAATAGCATAAATTCTAAAGTTTCGAATCATGAAGACCTCAGAACTTTCCCATGGCATGATTTCTAAACCCATGAGATCTCCATTACTTTAGTCTTCTGCTGTTGGCTAAGTGTTGCCTCGAGTGTAAAATTTTAAATTCTCCCTGAAATCCGTCCACATCTTCAAAGGTGATGAAGTAATTATATGTACCAAATTCTTGATCCTGCCTTTATTTGACTTTAGTTGTCAACTTTACCTTCAGTTAGTTCAAAACCGAAAATCTCATGCGTTAACTGCAATTTAAACCCTAAAAATGGCTAATAAATGTTTTATTTTAGTGGTGCAGTCTTACTCGTTCCATGATATTTTTTCCCCAGATTATCTGTCGAACTAACATTCATCGAAGCAATCCTGAGGGTAGCTCTTGGGTGGAACACCATCTTCTTTGTACTCCTGATCCAATTTCAAATACACTTAGCCCAGATGACCATCAGCCATTCGCAATCGACATAAATGTTAACCTTAATGGCCAGGTGTTTGTACTCACTGATGAAAATCAGCTCTTTTTACGCAGTGGCGTCTCCTGGAGGTATCCCTATGGTGAGTCGGATTGGTTAGTTAATATTTCAAGGAAAATACACTGGGAGCTTTAGAATGGTGCACTCATAAAACGTTTTGAGTCCATTATTTCACATCGCAAAAATTAAAAGAAACATATACTGAGGCGCTTAGTTGAACTCTCTTAGCATCAATAATTTCTGATTATTTATTTATTTATATCAAATGGCAGGCGCTTTGATAATTATCATTAGCCCTGGAGCTGACTTCGGGGCTTCACAGAGAGAAGGAACATCAAAGTGACAAAAAGTCGAGAGGGGAAACAGAAGAGAGATTCACAGATGTAAAAGAGACAGACAGACAGACACAAAGGCATAAAAAAGGTAAAATGAGTACTGTGGAAGGGGTCGAATATGACAAATAGTCGGGCCATAGTAGTTTGAAGTCAGAAGTCAACTTCCGATCAATAGGCCTTTTTGCCGTATAAGTATACGTTGCCCAGGGTGCACCACGTAGAGGCAAATCTATTGCGCACCTCAATTTCTGATTATTAGACTGGTTTGCATCTTGAATAGATCGTACTTCGCCTTTTCCTTCTGATATCGAAAATATTTTTATTAATGTGACAAGTGTTCCTGTTCATTTCACTCCCTGGATATATGCCGGTAGAACTCGAACCTGTTAATGCAGGCGAGTACTGACGCATGAGCCACCTCACTCATAATTGATCGACAAAAAACAACTGCCTATTAAAATTATTTGGTAATTTGAGTGATTTCATGAAGTGCATCCTAGCCAAGATAAAAGGGGTCCTGTGTATTGTGTCGTACTGAAGGTGGTATTGAGTGCTTGCACTGGAGCCAAGTGACGACCAACGGCTATTTTGCGTCAATTGTTTATTGCTCAACGTTTTGTCACTTTTTAATAATGATTGCCAGCACAGTCCTGAAGAATGCCTTTTCAATCGAATAAAGGGTGATTACCATTGAAACCTATCTGGGTTGGCAATCGTTTGTAGCGTCAACTGATAGGTCCACCACAAATGTTCAACGAACAGTTGCTCCTACTTGTCTTCAGAAAACGATTGGTAAATTTAGAGCTACGGGTTCAGTCGCTTACGCCAAACGTAAACATATACATGTGACTTGTTTTCTGAAAATTATTCAACGTGTCTACGAAACTACCAATAAGGCCATGGGAATTAACTGAATGTCTATCCAGCTGCGGGAAACAGTAAAAGAACGTCCTGTCAGAAAAGGTTGAAGCAGTTACTTATGCAAGCATACAAGGTAAGGGTGATGGAAACATTGCAACCCACGCACTATATAAGACGTCAACATCACAGGAATTGGCCACTCACTCATGTCACTGTTGGGTTATCTAAATTCCAGTCTTTATTTTTTTCACAAAGGAAGCATGGTTCCAACTTAGTGGCTACTTGATCTCTCGTAACACTCTCTATTTGTCAACAGACAGTTTCATAGAACACCTTGGTGTGGCTCTATATGGTGCAAAGTAGACATTTGGTGTCCGGGTTCAGTCTGACCGATTGTAGGCACCATTTTCTTTACTAACATTGTGAGTTCTGAAATGTATATAATGTAATTGTTGCAGCCATCCATAGTGGAGATGATGGAGGAAGTGTGAGAATTTACGTTTCTCCATCAAGGTTATGATACGACACAGACTTCATGGACTTTAATGACATACGCCCATGACGCTTTCTTGGTGCACAGTTTCATCAAGTTTAGGGCCTCATAGATGGTCAAATCTATCTACCTGAGAGTTCCGTTTGTGGGCTTATTTAAACGACGTAGTGTGCTGTAACAATCGGAATGCAATTAATGAGTGAAAATGAACACTCACAAGAAGAATGTGAAAATCTCACCAAGTGGGTTAACAAACTTTTCCCAAAGCATGTTGATACGTGTTGAGTTGTACATAGAAGTTCATGGTCAAGACTTTCAAGACTTGATTTGCATTCTTGATTGCTCAGTGTGTTGTTGTTCATATTATTTTATATTTACGGGATGTGCGATAGACTTACCTCCGCGTGGTGCACCCTGGGCAACGTATACTTACACGGCAAAAAAGTCAATTAACGAGCAGTTGACTTCTGACTTCAAACTACCAAGACCCCACTGCATTTCATATTCCACTACTTCCACAGTACTCATCTCACATTTTTTCTACCTTTGTGTCCGTCTGTCTCTTTTACGTATGTGAATCATTATTCTGTCCCCCTCTCGACTTTTTATCACTTTGATGTTCCTCTTCCTTTCCGTGAAGCCTGAAGTCAAGTAAAGGGCTAATGATACCTATCACAACGCCTGCCATTTGAAATAAATAAATAAATTTTATATTTACTATTTTTAAATAAAAACACTTCATCTGTGTTCATATAGCATACCTTTTTATCTTGGTCACTCCGGCTTAAAAATGGTTGCTCTTTGGCTATTAGAATAGTCAAAAAAGGCTTTATCCATCTGTCTGTTCCTTTTTTCGCCGCTACAGTAGGATAATTGGACCTAAAATCGATAAATGCGATTATTTGCCTTGTTCTAACTGTCACTCTTGTGTCCTCTAGGCCCTTACTTTTTATAGAGGAGTTTAAATTTACAAGGAACTGTGGTTCACTCAAGTATAGGGATTGAACTGGCATAGGTACAATTTTTCGCAACCACACTTTACGACTTCGTGTGGGGCTAGAATGTGCTAGCAGTGAAACTATAAACTTATCTTATTGGCAGTAATAAAACAAATACATGATCTAGGAAATATTAATTAACAAATAGTAGGATATGTATATTGTATTGATTTAGCTGCCACTTACGATAGCTTAATGCGACTTTAAAAAAGACCGCTTCTTTGATTCATAATACCTACAACTAAAAATTGAAAGTCTAGATCTTAATTGCAAAGAGTACTAATTCACTCTCATCTTATTGATATTGCGAATTACGGGGTGTGTGATAGACTTACCTCCATGTGGTGCACCCTGGGCAACGTATACTCATACGGCAAAAAAGTCTATTACCTGGCAGTTGACTTCTGATTTCAAGCTACCATGACTCCACTGTATGTCATATTTGACTACTTTCACAGTACTCACCTCACCCTTTTTCTACCTTTTCTACCCTCGTCTTTGAAACACTCTTCTGTCCCACCCCCTCTCTCGACTTTTTCATTTTGATGTTACTTCCCCTCTGTGAAGCCTGAAGTCAACTAAAAGGCTAATGATAACTATCAAAATAAATAAATAAATATTGTGAATTACAATTTCTTCCTCATATCAACCCTTAGGTATTTCCTGGACTGAAGTCATTTGCAATGTCCCATCTTCAATGTCTCTCGGAGATTACGAGCATCTGG